ATCTCCAAGCATATACAAACAATTTTGACGGTTTGGATCGTTAAAATTAGTTTTGGAGAATTCGTAAAACGATAGATTGACTAACACTTAGAGTTTATTTATACTTAGATTCACCACTTCTATTAATTTTCATTTTTCCCTCTCTTTTTTGTTTCCTTTTCAACTTTTTCTTATCATTTTCACTTTTCCCTCCAACATCTTTCCCTAATTGAATTCCCTCACTTTTTTGTTTTATTTTCAACTTTTCTTAACATTTTCATTTTCCCTCCATTTTTTTTTTCAAAAAGGGTGGCAAGTTGGCAAATGGCAATGGCAAGAAATTGATTATTGAAATTTGAGAATGGAAACAAATCACATCTGAGTCCTGACGCATCAAATTTCAATGGATGCAAAATCATGCAAATATGCAATGCATGATCATGCATATTAAATTATTAATTAATAATTATTATAGTTTTTATAAAATTTAATATATATATATATATATAATTAGTATAGAATCTATAGATAGACTTAATATTTTGGGGGTATAATTATTATAGTATATATAATTATTATAATTATTATAAATTTTATAGTTAATTTAATATATATATATATATTTATTATAATTTTTAGGGGTATAAAATTGTAAAATTAATGTATATAATTATTACAGTATTTTTTGAGGGTTATAAAATTATAAAAATAATATTCTGCTTATCGTGTATTGTGTTTACCCACGTGTATACCCGACCCAACCCGTTATCTTAACAGGTGCTTATCGGGTTACCCGATAAGACCCGATTCGTTATCGTGTCGACCCAAACACCTGTTAATTTCGTGTCGTGTCGTGTCGGGTTATCGGGTCGTATCAGAAATTGCCAGGCCTAGGTTGAGAGAACTTTTTTATGCTTGCTTATTTGATGATAAGTATAGTAATTTAGCTGTATACATCTCTCTTAAACATCATAATTTTGATTTTCGAAATTATTGCTTCCGCTATGTTGATTATGATGTTTCCAGATTGAGATAATTTTGGTTTATTAATCCTCCTTGTATTATTAGTGTAATGAATAAACTTGTATTCTGATATGCTAATTGTGTTATTAAGAACCATTGAACAAAGATCATTTTATCTGCATATTGAGATTATATTATCATTCTGGTCCTTCATATTGATATGATCTGAGAGTTGGGTGACTCGGGTTATATCATATATCGACGTTAACTCGTTCGTTGTTCTATTGTTTCTCTTGTTTTATTGAAATCTGAATGAGAATTGTTCTTTTCTGGGAATTGGTGCCGACAGTATTCTGGCCGATAACTTTGGTGATGGCAATCCATATGGTCTCGAGCATTGATGGATAATTTGTTTCGTTCATTTGGAGCTGAGGAAGTGCAATCGAGTTGACAAATATGGGTCCAGTGATGCATTCAGGTAATTCAGTCCGCTATTTCACACATGATTAATTATTCTCTTATATGCATGATTATAGTGTGATGAGTTAAAGCATGATGAATTAGGGCTTTTGTTATTTCGAGTATGCTTGTTTATATATATATATATATATATATATATATATATAGTGAATGCATGATTAAACTCGAAATCCAAAGATGCCAACTTGTGATTTATGTGAGATGTTTGAAATCATCTTTTGCTGCATTAAAAAAAAAAAAAAATTAGTGTAGCATTTTTTCTTGGTGGAGGATATAACTTGTTCATATACAACACCTATTGTTCTCTTTTATCTATTTGGTGTTGGGACATATATGATGAATATCAATTTGGGATGGAATCATTTTGACTGCATGTGTACTCCATAAATTGATACTGTCTAAATGAATTTTGGCAAGTATATATGCTTAATGACTAAGTGGTTCTAAATATTAAAAGGAAAACTAATGGAATTTGGATGGCATTGTTCCTATTTATGATACATAAACTAAATGCATCAATTTTTGGTTCAAATATCATGTAGGGAATTTCTTGCTAATTGAACATATATATGGAGATAGCATTCGCGCATACACGTTGCATATTGATGCATGCATACAAGAAAATATATGAACATATATATGTGAAATATGTTTTGGGTAGAATTGTTATTGTCCATATATGGCGGATCTGTATACATTGGTGTAATTTGGGTTTTATTTTGTAATGATCTTATTTTCATTAGTTGACCCAAATTAGATTTTGTGGCAATATATATTGATCTTAGCCTTAAAAATTTACTTGTATGATTATATAGGTCAAGCTATAAATTTTGAGAATTAGCTTGTGTCATCCATATACAAGGATGATAAACAAATTAGCTTATGTAAGCTGTTGTCTATATTTATGAATTCATAAGGAAGCCTGTGCTTATTGTATTGTGAAAATCATGGAGTTTAAGATGCATGCTTATTGTATATGAATATTTGTGATTTCATTTATGATGAATGCTTTCACCATTATGTTTTGGTTGAAATCACAAATAGGGAGGAAGATGAACTTTGAGTTCTCCAGAAGAAATAGTGGTCTTGATTATCTCGTTTTAATCAAGACATATTGTTGTGATATATATCCAGACATTATCAAAATTTGGTTGATCTTGCTCGATGAATATTGAACTAGTTAGGATTAAATTGAATGCAAAAATATTGTGGTTGCTATTCTAATTTTGATCATTGTTGAAACTGGTGATTTTGGGTTTATGTGAGATAATTTTTTCCGAATGGATTGTGACTATCTTTTGATACATAGACTGTTTGCATAATGATTTAGGTGTATATGACTAAACTGAGATTATGCAATTGGTGAGGAATTGGGAACCAATTGGTTCCTATCTCCGGTTTCTTTATCGGATGTGCAGTACATTCTGCTTATGCTTAAGTGGGAGAATCATATGTTCAAATGTAAGCATAAGGTTAAGAGAATTTAGGCCTGCCATTATAATTCATTTGGATGCTTAAAACCCAGTTTATGGTTTTATTGAAGCAATTGGTTGAATTATTTGTGTTACTTAATTTGTTTAAGTAATGAGAAGGATCCTATTATGTTAGCATTCAAAAGGAAATGAATTTGGTTTCCATATGGATTCTGATTAGTCATTCATTGTATTGGAATGATTTTTAGTTAATATAGTTGCTATTAACTTGTACTTAACTTGGTTGTGTTAAGTATGGCCTAGATAAGTGGGAGCAAATCGGTTTGGTTTTGCTATATTGGTTCACATAATTACAAAGTGCAAATTAAGTATGTTGTGACTTTTGAGTTAATTACGTGATGTAACAGAAAAGATTTTTAAGTTCAATACTTTAAAATGCATAGGTACGTTGTATATGAGGTTAAGTTTTTGTTATCCAAAAGATTTGGTGATCGCTTCTATGAATATGATAAAGCTGATGATTGGATCATAACTGTGCTATTCATGCAATTATGAATAATTTTAAGTTGACAGCTTACTGTCAAGAATGTTTGGTATTTAAGATATCAATTTTGGGCTATATGAGTGGGAGTAGACGTCTTGGTTTACTCTTGAGCTTAGATACATTGCTATGAACATGATTTGGACATTGTGATTTGTAAGTTAAATCTATATTTTGTGTTACAGAGGCAATTATAAATTCATTGTTTTGGTTTATGTAAGCTGGTTGTGTCTATATACTAGTGTGTTGATGAATAACTTATGTGATCACCTTTATATTGAATTTGAGATGATTATTCATTATTATGAATCATACTCAAGTGGGAGAATGTTAGAGTATGAGTATGATTCATACGGTTTGGTAATAATCCTTGTTGTCTCAGATTGCTCTAAAGAAGTCTTAATATGTTTATGAGAGTTAATTCGACTTTGGTTTGGATTGAAACTCTGTGTTGATAAGCTTAAGAATAGAACTTGTACAAGGATTTGGTCTTGTATTCCTTGTAGGATTATTATAGGGTAATCCAGATTTTGTAAGTTCTTTCTTGTGCTAATATCGTTTGGTAGATTGTCTCCTATACTGATTTTAATAGGAGAATCAGTTGGGGACATTTGATACATACATACATACATACATATATATATATATATGAACATAGTCACTGCTCTTGCAATATCTTTGCTTATCTCGTTCCAAAGACCTATCATTTGGAGAGCAATTGTTTTTTGCTAAAGAGGTAATAGTTCCAAAGCTGCAATGGCTTCTTCTTCTGCATCGAATTCTGCAGGTATGTTTTCTTCTTGTCCTTGCACTGCAACATTGTTCTTGTGCTTCGTGATTTAATAGCATATCTATGATCTATGGTCCGTGTTAAGTATCTGTCTTACATTTTTGTCTTGTAAAAAAAAACCAACAAGCTCGTAGGAAAAAAACACTCGTGTGAATTAATACACTGCAATGGTCTATAATTTGTATTTATGACCAGTGGATTATGTTTTAATGAGGACCAATTGTTCATAATCTGTACCTATAAAAAGAAGGGAATACATGGAAATGATCCTTGGCCTATGTTGCCACATCACTTTCACATCATTTTCTTATGTTCTTCAATGGGTAAGATAAGTGTTTGCTTACATGATTTAAACAATTATTAATTACCAAAATAAGTAGAAATAATTTTTTTTTTTTTTTGTTTTTTTGGCCAAAGTAGAAATAAATATACATATAGGAAATTAAGATAAGTTCTTACTCAAATTGACAAAAAAAAAATGAAAAATAAAAAAATGGATATTTGGATAGGAATTTGGCACGAGTAATTATGGAGAGTGACTCATTGCAGGTGGTTCAGGCTATTGGCAATCGCGTCCAAGGGTCTTCACTGATTGATCTTCTAGTGGAAGATATCCATGCTCTTTTGTGGGTTTTTGTGGACTCGCAGGTGTGTTATTTGTGTTGTACTGCTAATGTTGTGGCACATAGTATGGCCAAGTTGGCTGTTTCCTTTTCTAGTGATTTTTGTTGGTTTAAGGAGCCTCCAGATGTGATTGTGGAGGCCCTCTTCCATGAAGTTTGATTTATCATTCTCTCAATAAAATGCTATTGATTCTTTTCCAAAAAAAAAAAAACAGAAACCATAGAAATCTTTGATTTTGCATTGGAAGACAATAACATTGGATTAACATGATAAGCATGAACCTTAATTAATGGCTCACACAAAATAACTCGCTCGCTTTACTCGACCTAATTTGCCTACTATAATACAATTCCCACATCCCCATTTGTCACATTTCCATCAGTTAATGGGGGCTCTTGGCACTTCACCCTCTCATAAATCCGCCACTTGATGCCAAATCAACCCAAACCCCATCTTTAATTTCTCTCTTCTTAAACCTCTATCAGAATTGCTAGTGTCTTTGCTCGAAGTTGGTTAAAAGCATTCACTTTCTGCGATCGAGGTCCTCAATACGATACTCCCATTCTCCAGCATCGTTTGTATCGAGCTGGGTACCACAGCCATGGCCAAAATGAGTAGTTCTAGGAGCAGCGGCAGCAGCAATGGAGGTGGACCGTGTGAATTTGCATTGCAGGTGGTGAAAGGAAGATGGTTCACGGTTTTTGCATCTTTTCTGATCATGGCAGGAGCTGGTGCCACCTATCTCTTTGGTGTATATTCTAAAGACATCAAGTCCACTCTTGGATATGACCAAACTACCCTCAACATGCTAGGCTTCTTCAAGGACCTTGGTGCGAATGTTGGTGTTCTCTCAGGGCTAATTGGTGAGGTAACCCCTACCTGGTTTGTCCTTCTACTAGGATCAGGCCTGAATTTTGTTGGATATTTCATGATTTACCTTGCTGTCACTGAAAAAATTGCAAAACCTAAAGTTTGGCAGATGTGCCTTTACATTTGCGTTGGAGCCAATTCTCAAAATTTTGTAAACACGGGAGCTCTTGTCACTTGTGTAAAAAATTTCCCAGAAAGTAGAGGTGTAATGCTTGGTCTGTTAAAAGGTTTTACTGGGCTCAGTGGAGCTATTTTTACCCAACTTTACCTTGCCATATACCCTAATGACTCAAAATCATTGATTCTTTTAATTGGGTGGCTGCCTGCTGCACTATCAGTAGTTTTTGTTTACACCATTAGGCCAATGCAAGTGGTTAGGCAAAAAAATGAGATAAGGGTTTTTTACCATTTCCTCTACATCTCAATCTCCCTTGCATTGTTCATCATGGCTATGAGTTTGATTCAAAGGAAGGTTGCTTTCTCCCAAGCTGCCTATGCTGGAACTGCTACCGTTGTTTGCCTGTTTATGTTTATCCCTCTCGGGGTTGCCATTCGAGAAGAGCTAGTCCTCTGGAACCTCAAGAAAAAAACAGTTGATCCACCGACTGAGATCGCTGTTGAAAAGCCGAGCGAAATCCAAGAAGCTAAGGATGATTTGGATCCGGCGTCAAGTTCCTCAGCCGTGCAAGATCAAAACAAAAAGAGCACATCTTGTTGCGGCGACATATGCAACAAACCAACAAGAGGTGAAGATTATACAATTTTACAGGCACTTTTAAGTACGGACATGATTATTTTGTTCATTGCAACATTTTGTGGACTTGGATCAAGTTTGACAGCAATTGACAATTTAGGGCAGATTGGTGAGGCATTAGGATATCCAACCAAAACAATAAGCACATTTGTTTCTTTAGTGAGCATTTGGAACTATTTTGGTAGGGTTTTCTCTGGGTTTGTCTCAGAAACCCTAATGGGGAAGTGGAAAGTCCCTAGAACACTCATGATGACCATCATGCTTGTTCTATCATCCATTTCCTACCTCTCCATCGCCTTCCCGTTCTGGGGTTCGGTCTACGTGGCATCGGTGGTAATCGGAGTCTCTTTCGGAGCTCAACTGACATTGCTTTTCACAATCATTTCCGAGCTCTTTGGCCTGAAATACTACGCTACATTGTTCAATTGTGGGCAGCTTGCAAGTCCCCTTGGGTCCTATATTCTCAATGTGAAGGTGACCGGGATGCTCTATGATAGAGAGGCACTGAAGCAGCTAGCAAAGAAAGGGCTGACGAGGGCATCGGTGAAGGAGCTTACTTGCCTTGGAAGTCAATGCTATAGGCTGTCTTTCTCTATTCTGGCTGGAATCACATTCTTTGGTGCTCTTGTTTCACTGATTCTGGTGGTAAGGACTAGAGAGTTCTACAAAGGTGATATTTATAAGAAGTATAGAGAGCCTGCATAGATATCTGTTTGGTTTAATTCTCACCGGGTCAAAAACTTGAAATCTAACAGCATCTGGGAGGGCACTCTCTATATTATTATTTTTATGATTATATTTTATTTTCAGTAGATTTCAGCTAAATTAGCTAGATAGAAAGTCTTTTTATTATCTAACCCTTTTGGAAGTGGCTGGTCCAAACCATGCTCCGTATCTTTAACTAGTCATGAATTTCTATTGTGGCTTATTTTTGGTTGAAGAATTGCTTGTGATTTCGAGGTTAATGATCCCAAATATTAATTTCGTCCTGAATGGAGTGGCTATATTAGTGACAGTGTTATTCTTAATCTATGAAGCACGGATATAGAGTAGGAGGGGGATTTGGGAGTATGAAAACTCAAAGAATCTCAATTTAGGAACGTGATTTATTCGCAATGCTTTGCTAAAAACAAAGGAAATAAAACTTGTTAGAAAATATTGAAAATTGCATATGAAGTCACCCTATCTAATATCCACTCTTTCTCTCCACGTTTAGGGAGCTCAAAACCATTTCTCCAAAGAGGGATTTTCCTTCAACATGCTCCAATGTATCATGATCAAATATTCGACATAAATAAATAAAAATCTTATGCTATAATACGAGAGGGTTAGTACTGTAAATTGGCTTGAAATAGTTCAAGCTTGCATCGAGTTCAGCTTGTGTTTGACTTGTTGAAGCTCCAAGTCAAGTCTAGTTTGGTTCAATTAGAAAACAAGCCAAGCTTGAACATTAGTATGTTCAACTCGTAAAGCTCATGAGTAGCTTGAATTTTATTTAGAGGGAATTAATGACTACTAGTATCTTCCATTGGGTTTCATCCATACAAAAAATTATAAAAATAAAAGAAGTTTATATTTTACATCTTAAATCAATGTGTTTCTAGAAAACTAGATTTTAATCCTTAAATAAGATGAAGTTTAGAAAAATGTCTTATACAAGATTAAAAATTGATTTTAGTCCCTAGACTCTTATTAATGTCAGTATATGTATTTAATGTCTCTTTCTTTATTTATGATTTTATGGTGTTCATAAATAAAATTTTAAGATTATATTATAAATTTTAATTCTCATTATGGTAAGTATCTTATATAAGAAAATATTTTCATAGAGATTTTTCGGTACACTTATATTTTTACATATGTCTTATGCATCACTAATACATTGTAATATATTTAGGTACGAACATTTCGGTATACTAGTTTAGTATAATATATTTAGGTACGGACATTTCGGTACACTAGATAGGACATTTCGGTACACTAGTTTAGTATAATATATTTAGGTACGGACATTTCGGTACACTAGTTTAGTATCGTATATTTAGGTACGGAATTTTTGGTACACTTATGTTTTTGCATATTTTCTTATGTGCCACTAATTCACTACAATGTATTTAGGTACTACAATATATATAGGTATGGACATTTCGGTATACTAATTTAGTAAAATATATTATGATATGGACGTTTAGTTATACTAATTAGAAGAAGTTAAATAAAATTAATGAATTAAAATGTGTATAATAATAAATTTAAAATTTAATGTAAAGACATTAAATAAGATATCTATTAAATATTAAAACAATACGAATTTGAATTAAGTACACTTTAAAGGATTAAAATCAATATTTAATCTAACACCAGGTTTTTATTAAATTTTAATCTTCTTCAAGGATTAAAGTTCAAAAACCCCTAAATTTTGTATGTTGCATTGCTTAGGGGGGAACTCATACCTTGTATAAGCACTTTCCCATCAGCTCAAGCTTCTTTTCGTAGTCAACACAGGGAAGAGGAAAGCTAAATTCAGTGACACATTAACACGGAAAGGCGGAACTAATATCTTGTTTTTAATCTTTGTCATCCTTGTTCTGTTCTTAATGTCAACTTGCTATAAACAAATGGCGTAGCCAGCTAACCCTATTGGTTAACTGAAAGAAGGGACCTGACCAAATGCATAGTAGAGATCAGCAAAGCATTTGTGGGTGTCGTTATGAGCTTTAAGAAGATGCTGCTACTTTAAGCAGTTGCATTTTGTCTTTCAGGAATTACAAATGGTTCAAGGGACCTGTCTATTGATAACTTCCGGTCCACTACCTTTCCCATTTTAAAACCCTTTGGAGTTCCCTCAGAAGGGTTGGAGCTGGAAATAAAGAGGAAATAAAGAGTCGTGGATGCGCTACTAAAGGCGGCGGTGAAGTTGTTTTGGCAATCCCAGTTGTTCGAAGTCTGACCGTGAGTTTTTGAGACTTATAAGGCGTTGGCCAAGAGGATTAGAGGGGTGACATTCTCAACGAGAGTGTCTGTAGTCTGTACAGTTTGAAAATACTATGGTGCATGCAGCTCGGGAAGTCTTTATTCCCTTCCTTCCAGATGTTCACATATTTACCGACCATAAAGATGGCCAACAAGCTGGAGAGTATATCCTCAATTTAGATAGTATTATAATTTTACGAGGTGGGATATATTTGATGAACTAATTTGGAAGTACATTTGGAGTTTTATCATGTCGACGTGCCAGTAACACTCTCTTACAGAAAACAATGACTTTATGCAGGTCATCTGGTTATGGAATTTCACTAGTTGCAGAAACCACCTCCGGATGCTATATCTCTGCGGATACAACTATTTCTTATGCACAAGGTGGACAAATAGATGAACTTGACTATGAGAAGAAATAGCTGATGCCTCGGGAGGATGTTGGTACGAAAATTGCTTCTGTTATGCTTGAGGAGATTGAGCAGGGTGGAGTGGTAGATTCAAACCACCGGGTTCGTTATCTATTGAATTCTCATACTTTCTCATTTTTAGTTTATTTTTTAAGCTCACAAGGCAACAAATGGAGATATATGCACTAGAACAGAAAAAGGACTAGTTGAAGTGAAACGTTGTCCTGGATGAATTATTTGGTGAAATTTTAGGAGAAAAACCGCTGAGTTCGTTTCTGATTTTACCTAGTTTTTCGCAGGTGCTAGATATACTTTTTTTTCCGTTTCAGTAATAGATCCCATTTGTCAGATAAAGATAACAACGAGAAGGATTTTTTATACGATAAAATCATTTAGGACTTTTGTTATTGGCTTTCTAATTTCTGTTTAGCTTCTGATAGTTAGCTTGCTGCTATTTGGTTTTGCAGGGCTGTTTCTGCTTGTTTCATCTTTGTGCATTATGTCCACAAGATGTTCATAAGTTCGGGTTGGAAAGCTCTCTCTTTATGGGATAGAAACACTCAGAAGCATCAACGATTTCTTCTGAGTTAAATTTGCCATTATGCCGCGCACATCAACAAGTACTGTGATACTCAAGTGTGCGGGCTGTGGGTTGAACAACCTACGTAGAAAGATCTCGTGAGAGTCGCAACTGATATATGATTTTTGTATATCAAGCGGCATTTTTCTTTTATTATAAAGTGTTGTCACAAGGCCTCCCATGCATCAGTTGTGGAAGAATGCAACTTCATGTCTTTGTACGTCAATTGCTCTTTAGTTCGGACACAATTACAAAAACTTCAGTTATGAAGTTCGAAGTTTTGCAACTTTTGACACTTTCGTTCAGATTTTGTTGAACATCTTCTCGAACTGGATATAGGAAGTGTGATAACACTTAACTACACATGGTTTTTCGGTGCCTACTTAGAGGTTAATGGTGAGATCTGTATTGATTTTTTGATTTTGGAAATGTTTGGACTTATGAGTGGAATTTGTCCTAAACTACATAGTCTAAACATAATTTGGCCTAAAAAGTTAGGCAAGCTACTTTATCATCTTATCACAATACATCATACGATAAAAGAAAGATACAAAGCCACAAAAACGAAAAACATAGGCCGAATAAGTTGACAGAAAAAAGGTCCAAGTCCAAATAAACCAAAAACGCCACTTTCCCGAGTACATTCTTTCTTTTGATCGGTAGCAGAGCTGAGAATTTTGTGAAGTAAACTTCGCTAACGCTTTGAAAAGCATAAAAACACTAGGGTTGTGAAGATATTTCCTAGAAATTCAATATAATTTATCATTATGTATAATCATCAAGTTCGTAATTTCTCTGTAGGCTCCTCATCCAAATTACCGGTGTCTGTTTTGGCAGTCATAAACCAACCAAAAAAGAGTATCTACTGTCTATATTTCTTGTATATGTCACCCTTGTAGAACGCTCGCGTCCTATACACCAAAATTAGGGACACAAGAGCACCAAGGAATGTAACAGCAGCTAAAATTGTGAAAGACAACTGATAACAGTGATTCCCAATGCATGTCAAGTCCTTCACTTGTGACCTCGTCAACCCTCTCTTTGCTAGCTCTTTCCTTGCCTCTTTATCATAGAGCGCCCCAGTGAGCTTCACATTTAGAAGATAGGAGCCAAGGGGACTTGCTATTTGCCCACAATTGAACAACGTTGCAAAGTGCTTAAGACCAAAGAGCTCAGAAATAATTGCGAAAAGCAATGGCAACTGAGCGCCAAAAGCAAACCCTATGATCACTGATGCCACATAAACTGAACCAGGGCCAGGGAAGGCAATGAGGAGGAGGCCAACACATGATAGAACAAGAGCACCTGTCATCACTAACGGTCTCGGAATTCTATACCTGATGAGTAGGCTTTCCGAGATAAACCCAGAAAAGACCCTCCCAAAGTAATTCCATATGCTTGTCAATGAGACAAAAGCTCGAACTGTTTTCGTTGGATAACCTAAAGACTCACCAATTTGTCCCAAGTTGTCTACCGCTGTCAAGCTTGATCCAAGTCCACATAATGTTGCAATGAATAATATGAGCATGTCTACACTCAGTAGTGCTTGTAAAATGGTGTAGTCTTCTCCTCTTGGTGGTTTGTTGCATATGTCAGAGAAACAACCTGGCTCAGGTCTCTCTAATTCTTTGTCTTTCGATTCATCCTTTTTAAATTCAGTTTCTCCTGGTTTCTCAACTTTGACCTCAGTTGGAGGATCAACAGGTTGTTTCAGCTGATTCCAAATGACTAGTTCTTCACGAATGGCAATGCCAAGAGGGAGAAAGAGTAAAAAAATTGCTCCGGTTGCGGTTGCTGCATAGGCAGCATGGGAGAAATTTATCGTTTTCTGAAGTAGACTCATAACCATGAGAAATAAGGCAAGGACAACTGAGATGTAGAGGAAATGGTAAAAGACTTGGAGCTCATTGGGTTGCCTAACAACTTTCATTGGTCGAATGCTGTATACAAAAATTATTGATACTGCAGCAGGGAGCCACCCGATAAGCAGAATCAAGGATTTTGAATCGTTTCCATAGACTGCCAAGTAAATTTGTGTCAGGATAGCTCCACTGAGTCCAGTAAAACCCTTTAACAGACCGAGCATAACACCTCTGCTCTCCGGGAAATTCTTGACACAAGTGACAAGAGCTCCTGTATTTGCAAAGTTTTGAGAGTTGGCTCCAATGCAGATGTAAACGCACATCTGCCAAACTTTAGGCTTGGGAATTCTCTGGGTGACAGCCAGCCAAATCATAAAGTATCCGGCAAAGTTCATGACTGCGCCGACTATGAGCACGAACCAAACTGGGGTTACTTCGCCGATTAGGCCAGAGAGGACACCGACATTTGCACCAAGATCTTTGGAGAAGCCTAACATGTTGATTTCTGTTTGGTCATAGCCAAGAGTGGCCTTGATCTCTTTGGAATAGGTACCATACAGATAAGTGGCACCGGCTCCGGCCATGATAAGGAACGAGGCGAACACACTGAACCATCTTCCATTAAGAATATGCCACGAAAACTGGCCAATTTCACTGCATCCCATGCTGCCATTACTACTCATTTTACTGGCTTGGAATTATGAATGTTTTGTTTTTTTTTTTGTTTTTTTTTTCCTTATGGTTTTGTTAGGAATGCATTAAAGTGCAAGAAAAGTGAAAAAGTAAGATGGATTAGGGTTGAAATTGGGGTTCATATAAAGGAAGAGATTTCACAGAAGGATTGAACTGACAGAAAAGTGGAGCCACAAGATGGCTAGAAGTAAGCCTAAAGAGGAGGTTGGGTGGGTTTGTTTTTAGCCGTTGTTTTGTGAAGGCTATTTTTTTATCAGACTAATGGAGTAAATTTCTTCAATGCCAGTCAAACTGTAAAAACCAAAAATGAAAAAAATAGACTGGCTGTAAAAATAGACATTGGTCAAACGTCTCAACCTTGACACAACTCCCCAGATAATGGGAACTCGACACGTGTCCATCACAAAGTTGCTATTAACTTCCTGTGTGTTTGTTTAGTTAGGAACTAAACCATATTAGAGATGGATTAGTATTGAAGAAGGAAAGTTTTCCTTTAAGAACATTTTTGAAAGGTTATTGAGATAAGGAAACTTATCCTATAAAAATGTTTACTAAATCATAATAACAAAATCATCTAACTGTGACATTTAATCTCTTATCGACCTACTTGAGTCTTAACTGATGAGAAATGATAAGAGGATTCTTTCAAATTAAGACTCTTTATAGACTCTTTGTTACATCATGTTTTTTGGCATAATGTTTTGTAACGTAGGCAAAGAAATTAACGTTAAACTATGAGGTAACAGATGGTCACATTTTTTAGAGAGTCTCATTAACATTTTTCCATAGCCAAACAGCCTTTCATCCACTCATAAATGTCTCCACTTGGTTGGAAGCGATCTCAGTTTTGATTCACATAAATTGCAAATATGATTTATATTGGTGATAAGTTTGATTATATTTGTAGCTAGCCCCAATATGCCTAAGCTTTGTTGTGGGTACAATATCCTCTTTGTAAAATCTCCTACCATTTGTCATAAGGAAAAAAAAAATTAGTTATTACTATTAAGGGAGGGAAAATAGTTCGAAACTATTACAATGATTTAGAAGAAGGGGAGCTTCAAGTTGGGTTAGTTGGGAGTGTAGGCAATTGGGTAGAGGGCAACGGCGGCAATGTGGCCTTGGGGAGTGTTGGCACAGAGGGCAATGGAGGTAACGTGGGCAGTGTTGGCTTTGGCAGAGACGGAATTGTAGTTTTGGACATATGGCAGTTTCTTTGCAGTGTTGGTACTGCGGGCAATGGAGGCAATGTGGGCAGTGTTGTCAAGGCCTGTGGTGGAGCTCCCGGCGTGACCAAAAGGTTTCGAGCGGCGTGGCTCAAATGGGTGCTTGAGAGTGACAACACCATGGGCAAAGACAAAATGAAGAAAAGCTTGGGAAATGCCATGATTGAGTAGAGGGTAATAAATTTCTTTGAAATGTTTTTGGTTTATGGAGAGCAGATAGTCTCCTCCGTTGGGGTTTTATGAAGAAAACATGTGCAAAGAATGTGAGGACTTGGAATTTTGGACATATGACAGTTTGTTGAGTTGTGTTTGTAGGAAGCATGAAAAGCCGTTGGTTCACCTCCCTAACTAAACTGGTTCATCTAATTCAATACCTAATTGATCTAAGATATGCTAATAGGTTATTGACCTTGGTGCATTTTTGCTCACCACTTTCAAATAATGGTAATGTTCGTCATTTTACTTATTACCATTGGATGAGTTCAAATTTAGGGATTTGTGTATATCCATTACACAGATCTCGAGATTTAAACTCATCTAATGATACTAAATAGGGTGGTGAGTATCACCATCACTTAAAGGTGGTGACAAAAATATTCCCAACTTGACCTAACGAAAGACCAGCCAAAGTATGAAGATGGGACCCACATCAACTTATATTTGAAATGTACTTGTAATTATATGGATACGTTGATCTTGAGAATTACAATGATGATGCTCAAGATCAAGCCTAGAAGAAAGCCATGGAGGATGAAATCTCAATGTTTGGAAACCATGACACCTGAGAATTGGTTAACAGACCAAGAAACAAGCCCATTATTGGTGTAAAATGGATTTTTAAAACTAAGTTGAATATGGAATTAGGTGCCTAAGAGATTTCAGTCACAAGTCTGGGGTGGATTTTAATTAAATCAAAGGATACACTCAGAAGCCAAAGGATACGATTTGGCATTTTTCATTTTTAAATTTCTTTTAGTGATGTGAGGTGATGTTCCTAGTATACCCTTACATTTAAAGGATAATAGATGGCGTTAGTGAAAACAACCAATGCTACAACATATTGTTAAATTTGAATATTAAAAAAACTAATATGAGAGTTCATAGATTGATATTAAACTAGGTATAATGTGACATCCCGTCCCGAAATTATCGAAATCCTACGTGTGAAATGATTACTTTGCCCCTAGTTCATTTTCGTTACATTATTGGTTGTTTTGTGTGGTGTGGCATGTGCTGGGCCACACACACACACACACACACTGTCACTCTCCTCTATCCCCTGTCCCTTTCCCTGTCTCTCTCTCCCGAGCTCCATTCCTTCCCTTCTCTTTGGAAACATACGGACACACACACAACTACACCAAACCCTTACAGATCGAGGAAACCAAGTACACCTTCAAGCTCGTGAGGTTGAGAGGAGCACGATCGTACCATTTTCAGGTGAGAACTCTAACGTTTTCACGTCGTTTCAAGGTGGTCCGATTTGAGTACTATTCATGCGAACGTAAATACTAACGTTTTAGGAAATTTGAAGCTCGTAGGTAGCTTGGTGGTGTCCCAAGAAGCCTTGGAGTGCTTCGTTTGAAGAGTTTTGACGTCGGGATCACCGTGGTCAGAGTTGGCCGATTTTGGATAGTTTGCATAGGTAAGTTCTGGTGGTTTTTGACCCTTAAAACTTGTATATCGTTGTTCTACTAGTTCTAGGCATCGTTTTGGTGCAAGAATCATGAAAAATGGTTGAGAAACGAGTGAGAAAACACTGTTTTAAAATTTCCCAGTTTTCCGGCGCCGGAGGTTCGCCGGAGAAGGAGACGGAATATTCCGTCAAATCCGACGGAATATTCCTGACGCCGTTGACAGAATCCGTTAGAACTAACGGAATATTCCTCACGGCGTCAATTGACGCCGTCAGCGTGCCAAGCACGTGCCTGCGCGTGGCCGGCGCGTGGGGGCGCATGCGGCGGTGAAATTTTTTTCTAAAAATATGGGTGTGATCCTGAGGTTGTGTAGAGTACGTTGGTATATTCATTTGTCCAATTTGAGCAATGTATGAGAAGTTATTACGAGAAGTTGGTTATGTGCTTTAAAATTGACGTTTTTATAGTTGTTTCGCTTATAGGTGATATGTATCTCGAGGACGAGCGTGGTCACTCGAGGCAGGGGGGTTACGACCCTTCCACATACCAGTGAGTGGGCTTTTGGTTTTCCGTATATACCTATATACTATATTTTCCCAGAAATTGAATTAATGTTTATTAGTTTATGCCATGCATTACATTATCGTTATTCATGCATCGTTGGTTATGTTAGTAGTTGCATATATATATACATATGCATATTGGGTGCTGTGGACGCACAGGTAAGTGCCAGGTAAGTGTTATTCATATTTACATTCATTAGTAGTTTGAGATGCTTAGAGAGCTCATAACCTGCACCCCCGGTGTTAGTGCTTCCACCCAGAGTAGGGCACAGTCCTTCACGTGATGTTCACCTCCCGCACCACACGCTCAGCTTGGATCCAAGTTAGGTGCACAGTCCTGTCGTACAGACCACTTTAGGTGGTTCCGACTCGTAGGTGACCCGCGATTATTCGCACAGCCTTCACGTGATCGTAGCACTAGAGCGTATATATGTATTACACCCAGGCCTGTCGTACAAACCACTTTAGGTGGTTCCGACTCGTGGGCAGGTTCAGTTGTTGAGTTTGAGATTTGAGCTCTATATGCAGCCGTATAGGTCACGTTAGGTGACTCCGGCTGCCAGATTATATGTTATGATTACGATCTATACCTGAGCACTTGCATTTCATTATGAGGTTCCGACATGGCATATTCTTGAGCGTGATTGACATACCCTTGAGCATGTTTGGCATATCTATACATACGTATATATGCTATTTTCTGGGAAGTATACAGGTTTTACGGCGAGGGGTTAGAATGTATTTTACTAAATGGTTTTCGAAAAGCTTTGTTTTTGCCCACTCACACTTTTGTTTTGCGCCCCTCCAGGTTCTAGTTGATTAGCAGTTTCGGTGGTTTCCCATAGGGCTTTTCCGGCATTTCTGACAGACACTCACCAGTGTAGGGTCACCTTCGGGTGTACTATTGTCGCATCCTTTCTTTTGAACTGTTGTAGACTTGCTCTGAACTTGTGTCTCACTTACGCTAGCACTTGTTTTAGTACTTTGTATGCTAGTTTTTAATTATACGTACTTTTTATATTACTACTCTATTAGCTTCCGCACGTGCACATGGTTATGTCACATTCGTGTGACGGCCAGTACGCCCTGATCTCGGTCGGGGTGTGTCATATAAAGTTCAAAGATCACTGCTACAATTAAACCAAAAATATAATTATTGAAAGATTTTTTGACAAACTTGAGTGAAAGGAATCGGGTTTATTGCTGCTAATGTAGAATCATTGAACTTATAAGGTGACCTGTTCATGTAAACTTCTTTTTCAATACAAATTATATTTTTACTTTGACTTACACTAAGAGAAGAGGGAATGTTTAAATTTAGGACACAATTAATTGAAGAGGAAAGTTCTAAATACCAAAGAATAACGCTAAGGGGACTCTTTCAGAAGTATGATTTTTTATAAACTTTCGATTATCTCACAATTTAATGTCAATATTCATATCAATATTATAAAACATTGTTTAAAAAATTTATGAAGAACTTCACGTTTGAAAGAGTGTTTTTTTCAAAACAATTCACCACCCGCGGCATGTATACAGTTCTAATCAACTCATCTGCAGTTCTTTTGGAGATTTAATTTTCAATTTTCTTAAGCGACATTTGTGGGCCGGGCAGATTACCCGCCAAGCCCCAAACAGCAAATAGGAAGCCTGGGTTAAGGCAGTATTAGCCGCGGCCTTTTAAAAGCAGCCACAAAATTTGGCGCTTTTCAATTTCTGAAATTTCAGAACCAAAAAGAAGACGAAGAAAGGACTTGCTAGAGAGAGAGAGAGATGGTGGACATGGAGGATAACTTCCTTGATTTCGATTTAGAAGACCCACTTCTCACTCGCCCTGCAGTTACCAAGAGAAGGTTGGCTTTTTGGGTTTCTAGGGTTTACCTTTTTCTCAGTTGTACTTCAATTGGGTTTTTTTTTATTCCGTAATTTTTCACTATATTTTTCTGTAACTTCCTTTTCTCTTTGATCAAGTTGTTTTTTTTAGCGTCAAGATTTTTATTTTTTTATTTTTAGAGGCCTTGAAGTTGATTGAACATGATTTCTGTTCATATTTATCATAAATTCTTGAATTATGTCACAGAAATGGAAACCAAATAAGACTTGAACATGATCGGTTTCCATTTTACGTTCGGTTAGCGCTTACTGAACATGTAGTGTGTATGCATTAACACAGAATTGCCACTGTAGGATTTAGTGTATGATTTTTTGCAGTAATTAATGAGAATGGTAGATTCCCCCTTTTGTGTTATATCTCTCTTTGGTTGTAATTTAGGAGGAAGACTATTGGGTTGGATGACCTTTTGACTGACTTCTACAAGGAAGAAGACAAGCTTGTTGAAAAGGAAGCTAAGCTTGCAAAGGCACGAAGGAACAATGATTCAGATGAAGAAGATAATGACCAAGAGGCTGTGCTCTTTGACATTGTCGATAAGTGTGAAAGCGAGGCATGTTAACTCTCCTCTTCTGGTCTTTTCTGGTGTTATTTGTGTACTGCTGTTTCCTTTTCAAAATTTGAAATATAAACTTGGTGATGCAGATGAGAGAAATAAGAGTTAAGGAGGAGAGCTTTGTGTGGGGCATATGCACTTTTGGAGATCAGGTTCGTTATTATTGTATAAGAAAGCTTTCTTCAGTGAAAAAGGAGTCAAAAGGAGTGTACATAAACAGAGCAGACAGACAAGCTGTCCATTGCGTATAAGAACTGGCTATAGGCAAGAAGACACTTTGTCCTCTGTTTTTGGCATTTGTTTTGTTACAGAGACCAGGTTTCCAATTGATAGATACAATCTCTAGATTGTGTCACCTGACGATTGGTTATTGTTATGTAGATTGTGATAGGTGTTGGTCTTTAAATAGCAGTACTTTCTTAGTTTTTGTTTTACTTTGTGGTTGCAGAAGACCCCACCTTCTCTATCTTTTCCCGAGCTTAAAACTTGCAGGGTCTTGCAGTCATTCATGGATGATGAGCTCAATTCTTTGATTGATGTCTCTACAGAAAATGGTTAGTTATATTGCTTGGCTTATATTAGTTATCACTGGTCATTCATTATTGGCATGCATTTTGGCATCAAATTATGTATCCTGTTGTGCATATTTTGGCCCTTTCGCAAAATATATATATTCAGTTATTGATATTGTGCAGGAGACACTTTCCTTGAACGATTATTAGTAAATGGCTGGCTATCAAAATTGATTTTCGCCAGTGGTCATCTAGAAAAATCAATAGCCACATGGACCTTTTATCTGAGTGAGCCTTTTTGTCACCCCTAGCATGTCCTATTAAAACTCATGGAATTTCTTGTGATGTGTTTACCTTTTCTCTTTCAGTGTTATATTCGTCAAAAGAAAATTTGAGGGCATCTGCATGTGACTTCTGGTGTGCTATCCTCTCGTTTGAAAATGAGGTTGAACTTGATCTTCATTTTTTCATTGGACAAAAGTTTGATTGGGTGATATGTAAAGGAGTTAATTCTGGTATTAATTCTTAACCAGGTTGATTTACTGCCAGTCAAAATTGATTGGTTTCCTAGCTATTCTGAATTAAAAATAGCTCTTGAAAACTACGGATTTTTATTCAACTTTTCATCTAACACGGATTCTGCTCCTTCCAGTAAGTTTCTACCTTCACACCAGTTTTATGCATATTTTAGGTTGGAAATTTCTCTCTTTTTTTCTCGAATAGGAAAAATATATATATTGTTTCTACCATCGGTGATACTTGATAGAATATGCTTTATATGTGTAAGTGCAGTAATGTCAATTACACTCGTTACTTTGATGTTGATGCATTTTAGAAGGATTTTCTGGGTTGCAATGATCTTGAGCTGATTCCCCATGCTTATGGGCTCCATATTCAGTTGGCATACCCACCAATAATAAAACAAAATCTAGTGGTTCAATGATGCTTTTCAGGATTTTTTTCTTTTTGCTTTTTTATTGGTATGAACAGAATAGTAGTAATTTTTAGATTCTTCATATACCAATTTCTTTCCTGTTTTTTTTTATTTTATTTATATTTCTTGTTATTTGATATACGAAATATCATCTAAAAATTATAAAGTTTTGCATGCTTTTTGTTATTTGTCTTCTCATAATACTTTTATTTTGCCTTCTAGATTCTGCTCGTAGAGGTCCAGCTCCAAATATTAGAGCTTGGCTTAAATTTGTGACAGTTTCTTGTCAAAAGAGGTAAATAACAACTGGAAGTACTAGTTCATTAAAAAAATGGAAGCACTAGTTTGACAACACATAAGACTGCCATTTGCTTGTTTCCTTCATGGATCAATTAGTTGATGTTTGTTAACTGATTCTGTCATTGCCTCATTGGTATAGGCTGATTTTTAGGCATTTAGCCTAAACTAGAGCTACTAGCCTAAATTATGGTCTAGTTATTAGACCTCATTGATAGAACAACAATGATCTTTCATTTGGACGTGTAATAATATAATGTTCTTTCTTTCTCTTTAGCTTCATGGGGAGTGTTGTTGATATAAGTTAATGCTTGTTAATTGTGCATTTAGCTTAATAGATGATTAGTTGGTTGTTGATTGTCCTACATTATTGTGTAGGCTGTTCGCTTCAAGTATTGAATATTTTATCGGTATTTCACATCTCGAATCCTATATAGATCAGTGTACTATATTCTTTGAATGTGTGATACAATGATCTTCCTTTCTAAATATTTCTTTCAACGGGTACTACCTAACAACTTAAGTGATACCTAATGATGCAAATACTTATTTAAAATTTGGAAATATGTTTGGTTTTGTATTGTTTTCATTGGCTTGTTGTGGTGCTTATTTTATTTGCAGGAACAAAATGGCTATATACTTGACCTCAGAAGCCGAAGAGTTAATTGAAGTCATTATTTGTCTATTTTCTGATCGCCAACTTCAAGGTCTGTCCGTGCTTTTGCATGAGTGCATGCAGTCAGCTATCAGTTACTTCGCTGAACAAGAGTGGGAATCTAGCTGTGAAAAGATAGCAAATTCTCTTGCTTGCAGGTTATTGACTTAACTGGTTGTTTGATTTGAACTGTTGGATTGGATTTTACTTTCAAATTGGAATGGTCATGATCATTCTTTCTCTTTGTTGAGAATAATTCGTGATCAATTAATTTATTTGAACTCTGTGCACCTTTTGTCAGCGATTTTGTATTATTTTTTACAGCTACGTTCAGTTTCATATATAGTAAGGGAAAAATTAGTTATGGGAGATCCATATATATTTGTGACTATATTGAAATTATGCCTAAATAGTGTCGTTGCCTTTTTCTGTTTACTTTTGTTCAATTCCTCTCCCTTATTATTGCTGATCTATGACAAGCAGAGTTCCTAAAGACGTGACCTGCCTAAGAATTGTGGAATGCATTTCGGGAGTCGATACTCGTAGTAAGCTGTTTAGAAGTGCAATTGCCCATCAAATGCTTCTTAGCTGTTATGATCATAAGGTACTGAACAAGAATACAGGTCTTTTTAATACAGCACAATTATTCTTTCATTCTACATTTTATCAAACAATTGTTCCAGCAAAATAAGTTAGGCTTCTAATGGGAAAGAAAGAAGCATTCTCTCTGCAAAAAAGGACTTGAATTTTAATATCATATGCTGGTAGTAACCGGATTGTATAATCACTATTTAATATCCCATTGGTAATTATATATATATATTTTTTTTCATTCACTTAAACATGCTAGGACCATAAATGACAAGTTTCTTTGAAGCCCATGCATGAGGGGCACAATTAAAATCAGTTGCATATAGTTTAAGCTTTTGAATAAGAGTGTAAGTTTTTTAAAATGTTTGCGTTTGACACCATCTATAAGTTGTTCTCGCATGAGCATGAGAGTTGTGAAACTAAAGCAATACATCCAATGCGCGTGAGATGACGATGCATAATATCTTATGATTGTTTTCTGATGTTCATTGAGAGAATAGTCTAACTTATTCTATAAATTCTTGTTCTTTTCAACCTCAAAAGACATTATTGTTAGTTTTAAGTGATTGTATCTAGAGCCCTTTTCCCCTCTAATTTCTTAAATCTGATTTGACATTGTTGCTTGACGTCATGCTTCACCTAAGGCCCCTAATGATGAAGAGATCCTAAAATTGCTTATCCCAGTCAATGTGAAGGACAAAAAATGTGATTTTTCCAAGATGTACATACACTTGGTATTAGCCGAGAATTGGCTTTTGTCCAGTCAACTAGTAGAAGACAAGCCCGTCTTGAAAGCAATGTGGCGCCTCTACTTACGAAACTGTTCTTGCCTGATAGCCAGTACAGATTTGAGGTCTTTTGCATCGAAGGTATGGCAATTCGACCAGACTGAATCAAACTTAACTGTTTTCTCCTTACACCTCGGTGAGTGCATGTTAAAAGTATACTGCATTGCAGGTCCGTAACAAGGCTTCGTACCTTCTGCAAGGCACCATCACAGCTGATTAGATCAGCAGGTTGAAATTGTGTATAGTATCGAACTAAGGGTAGGGAAATGGTGGGAAGAAAATGCGGCGGTATATTATAGTTGGTAAATATTAATGACTGGAGCTCTTTTCAGTCAGGACCTGTATTATGTTTTGAGCACGAACCGGTAAAATCCCGAAGTAGGGCGCTGTGAATCTTATTGAGGTTTTTTCTGTAGCGATTGTTGCCAGGGAATGTTTGCTTTGTTTTCTTTGCTTACTTCCTCCTTCGTTTCGTTTATCGAATGGAGATATATCGGTATTTCAATGTATTATGTGTAAGTTATGGCCCCTGGGTGATTTGAAGACATGCGATTATATGTTGTAGCAAAGGCTTCTTCCCTACGTGCTTCAAGTTTACTTTTTTTGGTTCTTTGAAGATCCTAAATTAAATTTGATTCTATGGTGAATTTTAAATTTGAATTTGATTCTTAAGGCGACTTTTAAAAAGGAAGTTGATATCGGCAATCTAAATAGTTATCATGAATTTCGTACAGAAAGGAAAACAAATAGAAAAAGAAATTGAGGTAACCTAAACAACTAGACATGGACAGAGATTATAATTCTCTCTTTTCACGATTTTGCGCTTCAAACTTTGTTTGGCTTGTTAAGGTTGAGGACAAGGTCGTCAAAACACTTCATGTCTTATGCATAGAAGTTTATACTTATGGTTCATATTATAAATTATTATCTAAAGATGGTTTTTGGGAAAGATGATCGCATATTTTAGTGATCTATTGCAGAAATGATCTGTACAAAGTGCTTTATAATATAAATATTTCCGATCATAAGTACAAAGTTCCATGAATTTGGGCACTTCACTCTTGCCCTAGCTGTTTTCACGCTTTATTTACTATTGAGGAGAAAATACGTGCTCTTGCTACTAGAAGTGTGCCCTTGAAACATACATAAGCCAATTTTTCCCCTTTCTAGGGTTTTTGATCCTCTTCACCAATCCTGAAAATAACTCTCTAATGTCTCTTGCTTTGACGGTAAATCATTTAAATTAGTTTTGGCAATAAATCCATTACTTTAATCCAAAGTAGAGGTTCAATTGGCAAATAATTATAGAGATTAATTCCGAACATAATTCTCAACCACGTTGATTGTTTTTTATATAAATTTTAGGGATTATTTCGACAAATAATTAAAAAGAAAAAAGAAAAAAAATGGTTTGGAAGTTTGGAACGTTGAGATATTCAAATTAAGGTTCGGAAGGCGAACCTCACTCCGAAGTACATACTTTGCCCATTGGCTTTGCTTTCCGTCACACCCACCCCCACCCCCGCGCCCCTTCCTTTCTTTTCCCTCAGTCGCTCGGAATCCAACCTTTTTGTTTCACAGCGACAGGAGAAACAGGATTAGGGTTTACTCTTCATCCATTTGATTAGTTTCCCTCCTCCGATTTCAAAATCCACACCCATTTCTGCTTTTAAAATTGGGGTTTTCTTCCATTTTTTTAATTCTCTCGGAGTCACTTGCTTGTTCGTTTAAATTTCTCAATTCGAATTCTGGGTTCTCTGCCCTGGAAGTGATTTTTCTCCCAGAAATCACTGTTTTTTATCTTGAATCGCATTTCTTGAATCCCCAATTGCGAATCTTGAAGTTTAAATTAGGGTTTCAAACGCATGAGAAGTGAGAGTATGCCCAAGAGATTGTCTTTGGGTGGCATAATGAGGAAGAAGCTATCCGACATCACCAATTTGCAGGCTACGAAACCAATGATCCAGGATGAAAAGCCGCCGGAAGATTGTCTGACTGATAAGGACTGCATTGAGCAGCTCAGGAGGGTATGATCTCACTTGGGTCCTCTTCTATTCCTTACGCAAATTTTTAATTTTTTTTTTTTTTGCCAGATTGCTTAGTGGGTTTTGTTTGTGTTTGTGAATATCTGAACCAGGAAAGAATGACTTTGATCAGACTTGTCGCCGAAAGGACGTATCCTTTTCATACTCTCCAATGCTGTTTTCCTTTCTAATTTTTATTTTGTTATTGTTTTTTGGTGTAATCACCTGTTTGGGTATTGAGATTGCACCCAAGAATGAATTACTAGAATGATTGGGTGATTTCGCCCGGAAAGTTACAGAAATGGAGAGATTGTGTTTTCCTTTAATTGTTTTTTAACAGTAAAATGGTTGAATTAGGTGGAGCTGAGTTGCAGAAACTGCGAATTAGTCTCCAGAAATTGCAGCTACAAAATTTGAGTCTTGCACAATCGAACAGCAGGATGTTAGCGGTGCGTTTTCTTTTCACATTAACATTAGTGTCTAATTCCTTTCTGTAATTATCTAATTGTCTCTGGTATTTACTCTCTTTTGTTGATTTTGCAGGAGCTTAATTTAGGAAGAGAGAAGGTAAGTTGCAATAACCGAAGTAATACACGTCAGTCCATTGGCTCGTGAAGCCGTCACTTATCCTAATATCTGACTCGGTATTTGTCAATACCAGGTAAAAACACTACAGCATGAACTTCTATGCAAGAATGCTTTATTTAAAGCAAAGAATCTAGAAATAGAGGTTAGTCCTTATCTTGCGTTGTATGTCATGCGCTGGAGCTGTTGGTGCAGAAGTGTTTTTGCTGTTACGCATTGATATATTTTTTTCTTCAATTTTGATGGATGACTAACAGCAACTTAAGCAACATAGAGGATTAGCAACTTCAATATTGTTAGCTTTATTTTTTATAATTCTTTCTCTGCTTGTTTGTTGCCACACAAATGTTTACCTTCACAATATGTTGCATTTAATTATTGTGCATATGTGTAATTTGGTATAGTTCATCGTGATGGATAGAACTAATCTCTGTATCCCGCAATTTTGTCAACTGTTCCATAGAATCCGATTTAGGAGCGATTACACTAACTTCTTCTGTTGCTCTGCATATATATTTATCATTCCACTTAGACTCCTATAAAATTCCATTTATCTCATAAAATGTTAAGCAACATGGATGACCAACAAGGACCGGTTCTACTCTAGCAAATCTTATTCTGGTGACATTCTATATTTATTCAGGCCTTGAGTTTGAAGTTTCAGTTCACCAATATTCTTGTTTGATTCTTTATATACCCCTATTACAGGGAAAAACAGAGTTTAAACGTCAAAATACTGCCTCTCAGGTATCCAAGGTAATCGTTCGGCTGTGAATTTGTATGTAGTGAGATCTCTTCACAGTGCCTTATATTTCTATCATTGAATCTCATATTTTTTTCCAGATCAAGGAAGGAGAGGAGATATCTTTGCATAAAGCTGATAATGATGGCAAAACATGTAATCTCAACAAAGGCGAAGCATGTAATATCAACAAAGGCGAAGCATGTAATCTTAACAAAAGACATGCAACAAGAAGTCGATGTAAACTTTTTTACTTTGGCAATTGATATAGATGATCTAATTTTGCATAAAGATATTTCTTTCTTTTCCCCTTTGTTTTGCACCCACCGTGTAAACGTTTGCACTTATGAATCTATGATTTCTTGCAGCGGTAGGCGCTTCTACTACAGGCCAAAAGGTTGAAGACAAAGAGAAGGTTGAAAATAAAAGGTTAGTTGATGCGTGGTGTCATGGATATGGATATTCAGATATGGACACTCATTCATATTCCATGAGCCTAAATGTACTAGAGTCTACATACCGAAAGAAATATTTTCACGGTCCACTTTTGATAGATTTAATATGCACTTTGTGTTGAACAAGGGACTAAAATGGGATAACTGATAATCTTGATGCAGCACCAATATTTTCCCAGCTTTATCTCTTATGCCCAACATTTAGCTTGGTATGGACCAATAGGTGTTAGGTTTTTGGGGATTTTATCAAGCTACATAACACCAAAGATCTGTACTTGGAAAATCTTAATTAACTCACTGTTGATTGTGTTCTTCGCACAATCATTAAACGGTGTACAATGGCTCTTGCAACTCCCTCCTCTACCAGAAATTTTCTGTTTAGGAATCTTAACCACCTTTAAGACTTTGTACTGAGATGCTAGGGTAGGGATTTTCACTTGAGTCGCCTATTTTACCATGTGGATGCTCCACTGTGTAAAAATGGTGATTTTCAATGTTGCTTAAAGAAACTATCAGCCGAGTCACCTATCAGTGGACCAATGTGGGACCACTACTAATCTTGATCCGGCACCATGAACCTGTCAGGTGTTGTTTTCTTGTGAAAAACTGTGATAAGAGGCGCCTATATATTGAATAAAAAATGCCTTTACTCAACTATTATTGCACCATGTATCATATGTTGATAGGCGATGATTTTTTTTTCCATGGCTTGATTCTTTTAAGTGTTTCTCACCAACGTTAACGATGTTTTCCCATATCTAAGAACTGTATTTTCTGTGCCCAAGCTATTATATTTGCTTCTCCTTAATGCTTCCTTTTCTTTTGTTCAGACGGTGTTTGAGGAGGCAATCTGCTAGATTTATTTCCCAGACAGAGAACCTGTTTGAAATAGAGGATGGCAAATTACCAGTCAGTTGCACACCAGACAGTCCGATGCACAGTAGTGGTCCCACTCCATTGATTTCATCTACAACAAAAGAAGAGGGAGAAGATAATTGTGCCCCAAGGCGGTCTTCAGTTGGAAGACCGTTGCGCAAAGCAGCTGAGAAGGTTAAGTCATACAAAGAAGGTTCGTTACTAGTCAAAATGCGGAGATCGGAGTGACAGAAGGGCAGCATCTCAATATTGAGAATACCGGTGAGTTGAAAAGAGCTTGTATAATGTAGTTGAAGAAATGAAATGTAAAAGAGATGATTGTACAACTAGAACAGTTGTATCCATATCTTTCTGTAGTGACTTATCTGCTATGCTATTGTAAGCCATATTCAAGAAAAAAAAAAAAAAAAAAAACTTTTGATTAGCAGTTCTATTGATTTATGTGGTATAGTACTGTCTTTTCCATAATCACTTGTATTACTGGTTTTTAAAGCGATCGCGTTTGTTTGGGCTTTTAAAGTGATTGTGTATGTTTGGTGTACTATTATCAGAAGTAAGTGGTCCTATCATTTATGAAAAATTTAAGCTTAAAATAGTTATTTTATTTTTTATTTTTAGTTATAATTTTGGGTGTCTTTCATTGCGCATTTCTTCTGCATCTCTCTCACCCTTTTTCATCCACTATTCTTGATCTCCCATCTCCCATGTGTACTTCTCTTTTATCACTAACAAAAAATGTGAAACCAAAAAGAACTATTATCAGCACACCAAAAGTGTAATCCTACACTTCAATTTTGTAAAAACATAATAAAATTTTTGCATAAGAAAGAGTGTTGAATGATATTTTGGAGTATCACTAACAGCAGTCAAATAAAAATTAAGACAAAAAAAATTATCAAATGGGTCAAATGCGTTGAACAAAAACATTTTCCAAAGGTTAGTAAAAATATGGGTCAAAGAAAGTAGTCCAAATAATCGACTTGGGCCCAAAAGGAAGTGCACCTGTCGCGGTTTTAGCAACTCACGAGATGCTTCGCTTTGGTACCGTTTGGTACGTGGGACGGGACGGAACAGAGTGGGACAAGGCGTTCTGTCCCACGTTTGGTGCGCCTAAAACGGGTGGAACGAGCTGTTCCACGGGACGAGTTTTGGGTGAATTTTCGTTCCACCTCACCCCCTGGAACGACTCGTTCCACATCCGTGGAACACAAAATTATAACCTCTCCGTCTCCTTCTTCTTCCTCCTTGTTTCCATCCGAGGGCATCTTTGCTCCCACTTCGTTCCGTTCCGTCCTGTCCCGTCCCGTCCCGTCCCATTCCGTTCCGTCCCGTCCCGTCTGCATACCAAACGATACCTTTGCTCTGGCAGAGCTTTCAGTACGACCAAGGGTGGTGGGGTTATCTACTGAACTTAAGCATATCAATAAAGGGTAATGCTAAGGAAATTAAATTTCTAGACTAAATTTGTAAACTAAATAATATGTCACCAATAGGATTGAACACGTTAATCAACGCTTAAGTAATAAATCAATCATCAACTTCCATGTCTTTTAATTTTCAAAGTTTAGTTTAGAAATTTAATCTCCCTAGCATTACCCATCAATAAGTGGAGGAATAGAAACTTATAGCGAGTGAACCAAGAATGGTTCAACCTGAGAATCAGGCACACTTGATGCTCAAGTTGGAACATGTGGTCGAAAAAGGTTAAGCTCTTGGCTTGTTTGACAAAAATAGGCTAAATTGCGGACTTATCCTAGTTTTATGAAAGGGTAGCGTCATTCACGCACCCATTTTTTACTTATCATACACCCCTTTCATTTTTCAGCCATCAGATCGAATAATTGAAGAAAGTCAATGACAAAAACTTAAGAATGATATGACAAAAACTTAAGAATGACATGTGGGAAGTAAAAATAAGTGAGAATAGTCACATCCTTAAGAAAATGACCAAATAGGCCGCAAGGGCATGACTCATAACCATTCTGGAATTATGCAAAAAACTCAAGGTTTTGAAAAACACTCGAAGAACAAATGAAAGAATCTTTAGAGAGAGAACATATGAAAGAAATATAATCTTTTGTAACAGATGAAAGAAATATGATCTTTTGTAACAGATGAAAGAAATATGATCTTTTGTATTGATGAATGTTGAATGAATTACATTTGCATAGGTAGGTCTGTTATATAGGGTTCTAGAGACTTAGCATCTAAGCTACATAGCTAACTCACACAACCAACTTCTAACAAACTCTCTAACAACTTATGCTGACATGGCACTCCAAATACTAACAGCTTAACTTCTATGCTGACATGGCACACGCTACTAGCAGCTTCATTTAATTACATTCAACATCCCCCCTCAATCTTAACTACGATTTCCTAGCTTAAGATTTTAAAAGTGTTTAATAAAGGAAGAACTATGTATCCCTTTTGTCAAGATGTCTGCAATTTGATCTTCAGTGGGAATATACAAGACCTTCAAATCTCCTTGTTGTACACGTTCCCGAACAAAATGATAATCAGTGTCCAAATGCTTTATTCTAGAATGGAACACTGGATTAGCACTGAGAGAGATGGCATACATATTATCACAATGAATACTTGGTGGATGAGACAGAAAAACTCCTAAATCCTTAAGTATGTTCCTCACCCAAGCTATATCAGCAGTTGTGTGTGCTAGTGCTTTGTACTTAGCCTCAGTAAAACTTCGGGAAACAGAGATTTGCTTCTTAGATTGCCATGATATAGGATTATTACCTAAGAACACAACATAACTAGTACTGACCTCCTTGTGTTCAAATTATCTACCCAATCAAAGTTTGAGAAAGCATTTAATTGACGTATTGTTGCTACAGAATATAAAACTTCAGTATTCATTGTCCCTTGTAAGTATATGAGGATCCGTTTCACGGCTCCAAAATGGAATTCAATAGGTGATGATAGGAACTGAAAAACAGTATTGACTGCATAAGCGATGTCTGGCCTAATAAAAGTCAAGTATTGCAAAGAGCCTACGATACTCCTATACAAGGTTGGATCTGTCAACAAGGTACCTTATGATTCCAACAATTGATGGTGTGGTTTACATGGAGTATGAGCTGGTTTACATGTCTCCATACCAGCTTTATGAATCAAATCCTTGATATATTTAGACTGATTCACAAAGATATCACCATTGTCCTTGTATTGGATTTGTAAACCCAAAAAATATGTGAGCTTGCCCATGTCTCTTAAATCAAACATTGCAGATCACTCATGAATCACCATTTGTATCTTTCCAGAATTAGAGCCAGTTAATATGATGTCATCAACATATAATAACAAAATGATTATGTCAAACTCATCTTGTTTCATAAACAAACTAGCATCAGAAGCTGAGGCACAGAATCCTAATGCTCCTAGATAGGTTGTGAATTTTGAATTCCAAGCTCTCGGAGCTTGTTTGAAACCATATAATGGTTTGACTAGTTTGCATACATGTGTGGGATGAGATGCATTAACAAATCCTTGAGGCTGCTTCATGTATACTTTCTATTGTAGATCCCCATGGAGAAAAACATTTTTAATGTCCAACTGTCTAAGGTTCCAGTAATTCATAAAACAATCCTCACTATAATGTGTCGAACAACATGACTAAAAGTGTCCATATAATCAATGCCATGTTCTTGAGAAAATCCCTGAGCAACAAGTCTTTCTTTATATCTTGAGATTGTACCATTTGAATTCTTCTTTACTTTATAGACCCATTTGCTTCCAACTATAGCTCTATCTTCTGGAGATGGAACCAAAACCCAAGTTCCCTGAGCTTTAATGAATCATACTCTTCCTCCATTGCTGTTTGCCATTGTGGGATTGTTGATGCCTTTCTAAAAGATGATGGTTCTTGTATATCAAGTATTTTAGATAAGAATGAATATCCTCTAGTGAATGGATCTTCCTTAGTAATTTGTAGGAATAAAGTTCAGGAATTGAGACTAACAAAGCTGTATAATTCTTTCTGTCAGTAGCACCACTTTTTAATCTAGTTGTCATGGAATGTGTAGATTCAAAAGCAGAAGGATATGGTTTAGTAGTAGATGAAAGTGGAAGAATTACCTCAAGTTGATTGGTTGAGTGGACATGCAACATTGATGTTGTACCAGAAGGAGGAGAAGAGTGATGATTTGTATGATAAAGTTGCAAGTTGTTGTCATTTGACTCTGGCACATATTGGTCACTATTATTTGGAATGAAATCACTGTGCTCTGAATTTTCAATTCTGTCAACAATATGTTGAGTACTGCTGTTATTTGAACTAACAGATTGAATGCTTTTGTCACTAGTACCTGAAGATTGACTCCTCTCAGACACTGATATATCTCTTCTTTCTTGAACCATGGTTTGATTATTATGTGTATTATGAGATACCCCTCCTGGTGCATTGATTTGTACAATCACTGGAGAAATTGAGCTTTTCTGTGTTTCCCTTGAACCATGAGTATCACATATCTGCCTAAATGAAAAGACATCTTCATCATGTATCACACTTCTAGAGATGATAAATTTCCTTGTTTGAATGTTGCAGCAGCATAGTACCCCTTAATAGCTAGTAGCAAAGCCCAAAAATACACATTGTATTGATCTTGGCTGAAGTTTGTTCTCATTAAATGGTCTGAGAAAAGGATAGACAGCTATTCCAAAAAATTTTAATGAATGAATATCAAGATTACATTTGAACAAAACCTGATAAGGAGATTTCATACCTAGATCATTGCAAGGCATTCTATTTATCAAAAAAAGCAGCATGAGAACAACTATGGTACCAAAAATAAGTTGGAAGTTTTGCATATGACATTAAATTGATAGCCGTCTCCCCAACATGCCTAAGCTTTCTCTTAGCTAGGCCATTCTGTTGTGTTGTATGTGGACAAGAAGTGAGATGAACAATTCATTTACTTTCTAAGAACTAATGAAACATGTTACTCATATATTCACCCCCATCATCTGATTGCAAGTACTAGACAGTAGCATTAAACTGTGTAGCAATGAATGTATAGAATTTGCAAAATATTGGAAAATCATTTGGTTTATTCATCATTGGGAAAATCCATACAAATCTAGAACAGTCATCAACAAAGCTTATGTAATATCTAAAATTCAACATTGACAAGTGTTGCAGGAGAACCAGTCGAAGCTTATCAATTGAGGCATTTTGTCAAGTCCTTGGTAGGCGCCCTAGAGTCACACACCAACCCTTCCACTGGTGGTAAGAGCAACCCAACCATTTTTCCAATGCCCACAGAACCACCTAACCTCATTTGTCCCTTTGTATGTTTTCCCTTAAAAGGCTAAGGATATAAAACACATGACCGATTAACCGTAGCGCAACTCATTTTCGTTAATGGTCCCATACGTAATCAATCTTTACGATGGACAAGTCACAAAGTGTATCTTGAATCAGATTTCTCCTGCATTATTAAGAACAGCTCCGTTTTAGAAGTACTCGTAATCTTAAGCCAAGGAGACTGCATGTCTGTATGGACATGGATCGTGCATGGGCTCCACGAATCCCAAAGCACGCAGCAAAACATCTTGGTTTTTTTTATTTATTTTTTA